GGGATCATGACCTGAGCCGAAGGTAGCTGCTTAACCAACTGAGCCACCCAAGTGTCCCCCCCCCCTTTTTTTTTTAAAGATTTTATTTAGGCAGTTATTTTTCTTTCAGCACTTTGAATATACCAAGCTATCTCCTTCTGGTATACAAAGTTTTTATGGGACGTTTCCTTGCATGTAACAAGTTGTTTTTGTCATGTTGTTTTTATGATTCTCTCCTTGTCCTTTACTTTTGACCCTTTAATTATAATGTGTCTTGGTGTGAGTCTTTTGGGTTCATTTTATTTGGAACTCTGGGATTCCTGGTTCTGGATATTGGTTTCCTTCCCTAGATTAGGGAAGTTTCTAGACATTATTTCTTCCAGTAAATTGTCTGCCTCTTTTTGTTCTTGTTCTGGAATCCCTATTATGTGAACATTGGTCCACCTGATGTTGTCCCATAAATTCTTTAAGTTAGCTTCACTGTTTTTCATTCTTTTTTCTTTTTTTCTACTTTGATTGGGTGAGTTCTACTGCCTTGTTTTCAAGTTTACTGAGTCTTTCTTCTGCTTTGTCTAGTCTGCTATTTAACCCCTCTACAATATTTTTCAATTCACTTCTTGTATTCTTCACTGTGGTGGCTTCTGTTTGGTTCCTTCTTATATTTTCTGTACCTTTTTTGGAAGTTCTCACTGTGTTCATGCATTCTTCTACCAAGTTCAGTGAGCATCTTTATGACCATTATTTTGAACTCTTTTTCAGGTAGATCACTTATTTTCTCCCACTCATTAAGAACTTTTTTTCTGAGATTTTATCTTGTTCTTTCATTTGGAACATAGTCCTCTGTTTCTTCATTTTCATCTCTCTCTGTTGGTTCCTATGCACTGGATAAAATAGCCACCTTTCCCAGTCCTGATGAAGTGGACTTGTATAGTAGATGAATCTTATCATTCAACCCTGCCCCACCTCTTGGTTTCTTTCAAACCTTCATGATTGTCCAAGCAGCCTATTTTATTTTAGAGACTCCTAGTAGCTGAGGGTGCATTAAGACCTATCAGTGTCCCAAAGAGTAGGGTATCGATCAGCACTTAGGTTCAGCTCAAGCAGTAGCTTCTAACTTATGCAAATATATATTGTCCTGTGGGGCCACAAGTGCAAGTCCCATTGGCCATCATAGCTAGATGCTCTACAAGTGTCCCCTGGGTGACAGTCTATATTTAAGTTCCAGGAGAGTACACAAGTTTCCTTCTGGGAGATACCAATGACTTGGAGTGAGGCAGAGAGAAAGTATGAACATGGCATCCACTGGGCCATCTGTTAGTGTATCTCAGTAGGCACCTAGTTGTGTGCCAGACCAGAAGCCTGCCCCTCAGGCTGATATTCCAGCACAAGCAAATAGGTCTCTTTCCCAGAAAGACTGGGGGTGTGTTTCAGTCTCCTCTGTGCACAATGTCTTAGGGTTGGTAGCCAGCCAAGAATTGTCTCTGTTTGTTACAGTCCTGTGGGATACAGGAACACAAGCCCTGTTGGCCACCAGAGAAAGGGGGTGCCCTCTGGGTTTCACCCATAAAAACCAGCATACCAGAGACATGTGCAAGCATGTCTCTGGGAAATATTGGTACTGTGGAACACAGCAGAGGAAGAATGAAGATAATGACTGCCCTCTGAGATCTCTGGAGAGAATTATAGGGTGCCCTTGTATGTTTAATTAGAATCCTGCCCCTCAGGCCACAGCTATGAAGATAAGCTAATAAACCTCTTTCATGGAAAGACTGAGTGCCTTGTTCTGTTGTCTCTAGTTGTGCTTTGAGGGTGGTAGCTAGTTAAGAACTAATTCTCCATTGGTTACAGTTCTGTGGGCCCCTGAACATAAGCCCCACTGGCTGGCTACCAGAGCCAGGTGACTAGAGTTGTTCCCCTGGGCCACAGCTGCAAGAATTGGTGTGCCAGAGGAGGGTATAAGCTGTTTTCTGGGAGTTACCCGTGAGCTGAAGTGAGGCAGATGGAGCCAGCCATCTTCCATCTCTGGAGATGCAAGGCCCCTAGATGTGTGTTAAATTAAGATGCCTGTGCCTTGGGGTGCCTGGGTGGCTCAGTGGGTTAAGCCTCTGCCTTCAGCTCAGGTCATGATCTCAAGGTCCTGGGATCGAGCCCTGCATCATCCCGCTCTCTGCTCAGTGGGGAGCCTGCTTCCCCCCTTCCCTCTGCCTGCCTCTCTACCTACTTGTGATCTCTGTCAAATAAATAAATAAAATCTTAAAAAAAAAAAGATGTCTGTGCCTCAGGCCATCACTTTAAGAAAATAAGTTTCTTTCATATGAAGTCTGAGTACCTCTCAATTGGCTGCTTCTGAGCTGGTCCCTGGGGTGAGTCCACGTGTGAGAGCTGTTTAAAAGCTGTTTTTCAGTTCACTCTTGTGGGTCCCATGAATGTGAGTCCTCTTGGTTTTCAAAGCTACTTGTTTTGGGGACTCATGTCTCAAGTCTTAAAAGTTGAAGTACCTAATGTGGGGCTCAAACTCTACTCCTCAGAAAGAAGCTCCAGGTTGTGGGTTCCCTCCTGATTGTGGGTTGGCTGCATCAGGGGTAGGATTTATGGCAGTTGTCTCAGCTTCTCCTACCAGCTTCAATATGAGTTTTTTATTTGTGTTATCTGTAGGAGTGACTCAGCAAGTTTTTAGGTTTTTTTGTTTTTTAAGAGGAAATTGTTCCATAGGTAGCTGTAGAGTAAGTTATCTGTGTGAGGAGGTGAACCCAGGATCTTCCTACATTGTCCTCTTAAACTAGAACACTCTTTTGTTGTTACTTTAATGGAAGCAGCCAACAGTCTTTAGAGAAAGTTAATAATATATGTATAAAAAATAGGAAGAATATTTATTTTTAAGATTTTATTTGTGATAGAGCGAGAGAGGGAACACAAGCACAGGGGAGCTCAAGAGGGAGAAGCAGGCTCCCCGCTGAGCAGGGCGCCTGATGCGGGTCTCTGCCCCAGGATGCTGGGATCATGACCTGAGCTGAAGGCAGATGCTTAACCACTGAGCCACCCAGAAGCCCCAGGAAGAATATTTTTTAAGATCTTTTATATTTTCTGACCTATTTACTCTTTATTATAAATACTCATTTCTTTTCTGCAGAACAAGGATTCTAAGATACCTATATATAGATTATGTATGTATGTATGTATCTGTCTATCATGCAGAAACTTTTCACACTTTAAAGAGCTCTTCAGACCTATTCTTGGAAGTCATGTCCCATCAGTTCTGTTTTTTGTGTCTGAAGCAGTTACAAGCCTGTCCAGATTCAAGTGGAGGTAAAACCAATCTCCATCTCTTCATGAGATTAGTGTTAACAGAACTTGTGGGAAGCGTTTTTAAACTGCCTCATTGTTACTGAATTATCTAATAAATTTCTTACAGAACAGGACTGCTGGAGACCAGCATTTACTTCTTCACGTAACTTGTATCCAGGTTAACTAATCTATACCTTGCCTTCTGTTTTGTCAAAAGAAATGTTTACTTTTAAATCTTAAGCTTTCTCATGAATCATGAATCATAATTTCGTGTTTTGGTTTAGTCAGTAAGTAAATCTCGAGTCATTCTCCCAGATTTTTCCTTTTCTTTTCACAGTAGCTTATCTTTTTAGAAAATATGTTATGTTCTATTATTGCTGTATAGTAAATAACATAAATATTTAGTGGTAGAAAACCATAGCTTTTGATTTCTCTAATGACTTTTTGTGTTAGGAATTTGAGAAGTCTGTTCTTACTTGGGGCTCTCTCATATAGTTTTTGTCAGAGGTAATAAGGGGCTCCAGTCATCTTAAGGTTGCACTTGCCTGGACATCTACAGTAACTCACTCACATGGCTGGTAGTTGATGCTGGCTGTCTGTTGGAGCTCAGTGGAAGCTGTCAACTAGAGCACTTACATGCAGCTTGTCCATTATAGTGGCCTCAAAACAGACTTTTTATATGGCAGCTGATTTTCTCCAGAGTAAGCGTCTCAAGAGAATCAGGCAGAAACTTTTCACACCTTTAAAGGGCTCTTCAGACCTATTCTTGGAAATTATTTAGTATCAGTTCTGTTTTTTGTGTTTGAAGCAGTCACAAGCCTACCCAAACTCAAGTGGAGGTGACAGACCCCCATCTCTTCATGAGATAAGTGCTAAAGAACTTGTGTGCAGTATTTTTAAACTGCCTCATTGTTTCTAAAGTATACCTTACAGATAAGAAAATGCATAGACTCCTGTTAAGTTCAATGAATTTTGACAATTGCACAGACCCATGCATCTACCACCTGAAATAAGGATAGAGCATGTTTTCACTTTATAAGGTTGCCTTGTACCCTTTTTAAGTCAGTCCTTACTCAGTTCCCTCCACCCATAGTTAGCAACTATCTGAATTCCATTAGTTCTATTCTATGAGTTTTCTAGTGTGTATGTGTGTGTTTTCACTCAACATAAAGTTTTGAGATTCTTCTATATTATTGCATATATTAGTTGTATGTTATTTTTTATTGCTGAGACACATTTCATTATATGAACATACCAGCATATATTACCTTACCTATTATTGGATATTTTGGGTTTTGTCCAGTTTATGACTATTATGAATTGGGATGATATCAACATTCTTGTATACATCTTCAAATGGTATCAGGGTATCTTTGGGAGCGATATTATATTACTATTCAAACCCATAGTATTTCTAAAGTATTTCTGTGCCCAAAGACCTTTGATATAATTTACCTCTCTAGATGATAAAGATTTGCTACCAAGCTCTTCCCTTCTTGAATGGGGATGAATTCTTCCCTTCTTGAATCCTGGTAACAAGATTGATTTGAATATGTAAAGAAAAGACTGTGGGACTCATAAAGGGTTGATTTAAACAAAAACTAATGATGTCAACTACAGATTGAAAATCTGTATCTGTTATACATAGAACAATCTCCCATGTATGCACTAGATTAATGGAGGTACTTGGGGGAACTTAGGTCAAAATAAACTGACAAATTATGAAACATATGTGATAATGATAATAAACAAGACATTTATTTTTCATACTTATTTGGGGGAAAGAAGAAAAGTCAGTTTGCCCTGCCCAATGATGGTCTTTCTGAAAGAGTCTCCATTCATTCCATAGCATTGGATAGGTTGCTTGATCTGAGGTTTTTTTTTTTTTAAGACTTTTAATTCATAAAGAGAACTTCCTTTGAAGAGGGTGGTCAAAGGGTGAGTCTTTGTGAGCAGCTTCGCTGGTGCACAGCCAGACTCCCTCTCTGAGTGAAGCTTTTCCCACACTGGCCACACAGATAGGGTGTCTCTCCTGTGTGGATTTTGCCATGCAGGATACAATTGCCCCTGGTGTGGAAACTCTTCCTGCACTGTGTGCAGGCATAGGGTTTCAGGCCTGTGTGGACTCTGATGTGAACAATTAAGCTTCCTTTCTGACTGAAGGCTTTTCCACACTGATCACATCTATAGGGCTTTTCTCCACTGTGAACTCTTCTATGAACAGCAAGGTTACTTTGATTCCTGAAGCTTCTCTGACAAATAGCACACTCATAGGGTTTCTGTCCAGTATGAAGTCTTTCATGAACGGCCAGACTACCTCGTTGACTAAAGCTTTTCCCACACTCCTTGCACTGATAGGGCTTCTCTCCTGTGTGTATTCGCTGATGTGTAACAAGATTGCCTTTGGCCCTAAAGCTTTTTCCACAATGGGTACACTCAAAGGGCTTTTGACCAGTGTGGATTCTCTCATGCAAGGTTAGACTGCCTTTTTGCCTGAAGGATTTTCCACATTCCTGACACTCATAGACCCTCTGTCTCACTCCAGGTGAATCTTCCTGTAGTGTCTTAGAATCTGGGGATTTTTGTTCCAGCTTCTCTCTTCTGAAAGAATTCTGGAAATCCCAGCTTGAGGATCCTGTGGCCTCAGAGTGATCATATTTGTGGTGGGCTTCTGTCATCACATCTGGTAAAATGAGAGGAAGTCATGTAAGATGCACCAATATGCTGAGTGGGAAGAATAGGGAAAAAAGAAACAATGCTTTGAATGCTTATTATGTGCCAGACATTACACTGTGAACTTTGCATAGATAATTTAATCATGAAAACCCTATGAAATTGCTACAGATAAGGAAATGAGAGCACAGGGAGGTTGTCATAGATCTTGCAGTTAGCTAAGTGTAGAGTTGGGATTCAAACACAGGCATGCTCCACAGAAGTATACTGTCTCTAAATTTAGTTTAATTTAGCCTCCCAAAGAACCTGTAAGGTAGACGTGATTATCTCCTTTTTATAGACAAGAATATAGGCTCAGAAAAATGAAGAAAACTATAAAAGATCAAATAGAGTCCCATAACCAAGTTTTCTCTGACTCCAAGATAGGTATGGATCCAGGTTGTACAGGGCCTAAAACTTTAAGATTCTGGAGGCACTCCATTAAGAAAAAGTATAATATAAAAGTAGGTAGAGGGTTCTGAGAGACCAATACATGAGAAATCATCTCTGCACCAATCTATTTTCCTGACAGTGGAGTAATAAGCTCCAGGACATTAGAAAATATGTATCAGAATCTTTGGAACATTACATCTATTATCTCTAGTCCCAGTAACCCTGCAAGGTAGAGTTTACTGTCCCCTTTTACAGATGAAGAGCCTGGAGCTCAAGGAAGTTAAACAATTTGTCTGATACCACAGATCAAGCTAGGACAATTATAGAATCTGATCCAAGGAACTTTCCCCTTTAATATCCATGCTATTTCAGTCTACTAAGCTATGGTGGAACTGAAATCAATTTTGGTTTGGAAGTTATTCTCAGACACTTCCTATGCATGCTGACAGTGTTTTCCATATTGCCCTGCATCTGAGCCTGCTACTGCACTTTAATTATGGGTCCATTAATCACTATTAACAGTTTTCTTGGAGTCATCCTAGGAAGATTTTCTCTTGCCTTACCCTTATTCAACAATTGTGCCCTGATGTAAAGCTACTCGTTCATTTTCTCAGAGACTACCTCAAAACTATTCCATATCACGATCATTCTCTTGCTCTGTTTCTACTGCTATTTCTAATTCTAGCTTGCAAGCTTTCCCTGTAACCCCCAGGAATGGTGAACTCCTCCAAAGGAATGTCTCCTCTGCTCCCTCAGCCTACTGATCAGTGCTTGAGTACAGGGATACTAAATATTGTGATTTAAGGACATCTCAGTGATCAACCGACTCACTCACTGAAAAATGCTACATTCTGCGCATATCTTCCATGACAATCCAGCAGGGTAGCTGTTGGAAATCCAAACATGTCCACGCCTGCTGTATGACTTTAATTACCACCTCTTCATATGATTCTTCCATGGGCTATTCTTGAACACCTGAGGAGGAAAAAACAAACAAACAAAAAACATAAAAAGAAAAACAGGAAAAGGCAAGAGAATTGATAAGTGAGAAGGATAAATTTGGGGTTTGAGTAAATGGAAGAAATCTGGATTGCCTGATGTAATCTTAGCCACCTATAATGTAACCCAAAGTTGGTCTAAAGGTACCATGACCACATATAAATGAGTCAAGATGGAAACATGAGGTGGGAAGCACAGAACACATATATCTCTTCCTGCCAATCCCAAGATAATGGTCACTCCTGTTTGTACTTTAGCTATGGCATGTGATTGGGATCTCCCACTTCCTTCCCCCACCTAACCACCTGCTCTTTTATACTTCAAGCCTCCAAAGGAATTCAGAATTTAAGAAAACCAACATTTCAGCCTTCATGATTCATTCTATGATGAAAATGGCTCCAGGTCTTCCCTCCAGTTCCCCCCAGGTTGTAAGGACAAGAGATCTCATATGTCTACCTTTTAACAATATTTAGGAGGGTCCAGATCCAGAACCACCCCTCTCCTATTCTTCAGGATATGAGAATACCAATTTTAAGTGTAAATACTTGCCAATTCTAGGAAAAGAAAGACCTTCTTCAGACTCCCAAAACCAAGCCCAAGGCACTCCAACTAGGATAAGTAACCTGTCCAAAGTCATACAGTCAGTAAGGAGTCCAGGTTGGGCAAAGGATCAAATCCAAGACTTTCTAGAGTCTATGCCCTTAAACTAGACAATTAAGAGCTGGTGAGAATTTTTATAAAATGGAACAGAATGTAACAATGCTTGACAGGACTTTACCACTCTTCAAGATCCTAGGAATCCTCTTGTTCCACATTCTTCCCCCCCCCCACCTTTTTTGAGTATTTTCTTCTTACTTTAGGATCCTAATTACTAAATTCGTACACTTTATGCAGTGGTTCAGTGCATAATCTTTATTTCCCTCCAATATGTTTCATCAAAATGCAGGCCTCCTGATTTAATGAAATAGCGATGTGATGCTACAGTGGTTTTGTTAACCTGAACATCTGGTCTTGACACAGATGTTCTGACTGGAGAGGCATTTTAAAACTTGTATTTGGAGGTGTCACCTCCCTGGAGTAGAGGCTACAAAGGAATCCTCTATGATATCCTTATCTATGATATCCTCTATGATACTGCCAGGATGCTACAGGAAGTTCATTTGTTCAAGGTGCTACTGCTCAACAACTGCACATCCATCAGGAGTCCCTGGAAAGTGCACGAAACCTAAACCCTGCCTAAGGGTGGACTCTGTTTCTGGGGAATCCAGCAAAAAGTTTGGTCAGAACAAGTGGGTAGAATTTACAACTCTGCTTCTCCGCATGCTATGAGATCTTCCAACAAGTAACAACTCAGCTGCGTCTCAGGAACTGCCTTGGTTAATAAATGGAGATTGTTTTATTTTTCTCCTTAGGTCACAAATCTGAGGAAATAATTTCCTGAAAAATTTGAAGTGGCTTTATTAATAGAAAATTGCTTTTCCTATGAAAGGCTATTTATCCTTTGGAAAAACTCAGAATTAGGCTAGGAGAGACTTGGATTCTTGCCTCGAATCTCCCCTGCCCCTATACAGCCTTGGGCAAGTAACCAAACAGCCCTGGCTCTGTTTCTTCCCTAACTAAATAGGTTAACAATACTGTCATATCAGGTAGCTCTTGGGAGAATAAAAACCAAATGTGAAGAATCTCTGATGGCACCTACAGACTGAAATGCCTAAAGTGGAGAGCCCTCAGAGGGGGTAAGCTTCGCTGTCTTTGGAACCTCTTGGGCGATAGTCTCAGGTTTAGGAGATGAGGGTGGGGGTGATTATTTTCTCTACACATCTGAATCCATTATGTCCTTTGTCCCATTCTCCACCTTAACAAGGCTGTCCTCTCTCCCATTCCCCCTCCCTAGACAGAGCAGCCCCCACCCCCAACGTGTTGTGAAATCCTCTCTGCAGGCCCCAGGCACACCTGCCTGTGGCCTCCCCCTCCCGCGTCTCCAGGGTGCGGGGCCTTCACACATGCTCTGTCCTGCGGAGCGGCGGTCGGAGGGGCCCCTGCTCCCCCGGGTACACTCTCCCCTCCCGCCTCAGGCGCCCCCGGGCCCGCCCTGCGTGCTGGACCTCAGCATCCCGCTCTCCAGTCCAGCTGGACCCTTCTCTGCGGGCCGCACGCCTCTCCCCTCGCGGGTGGCCTCCCTCGGGGATCAGGCCGGCCAGGCCTGCTCTAGGGCAGCGGGGGCCGAAGAGGGCCCGGGAGCGGCGGCCTGCCCACGCGGCCCCGCCTAGCCGGGCTCACTGACCCGGCCGGCGGCCTCACTCACCGCAGCGGCGCGCGCCCGCAGACAGACAAAGGCCGGCGCCGAGCCCACAGCAGCGCCGGCGCGAGCGGACCGAACTACAACTCCCAAGAGGCTGCGCGAGAGCCCGCCCGCCGGGTCCCGGGCCTTGGCTGGCCTGGCTTCTTGGAGCACTGTGGGAAACGTAGTTCCGTGGCGCGCCCTGCTGCTCGGACTCTGAGGGTCCCGACCCGGCGGGGCCCTTGTTCGGATCCCCTTTGTGCTGTAGGAGGAGGCGTTCTGTCCACCCCCGTAGTCCGGGGAGTGAGGGAGCCATGCAGCCGCTCAGATTAGGCCTGGAATAGCAGCGTAGTAAAGCCGACTGCTGGGCCAGGAAATCCGGAATCCAGGGTTCTTGAGGATTTCATGGAAGGAAACAAAATCTTGCGGGAGAAAAGCCTTGGGTGCATTGGGGTTATGTGTTGAGGGGGGCTTGAGCAAAGACTGGTCTGTAGTTCAGGCTCTGAAGCTAGGAGCAAATCTGTCAAGTAGAGCCTGTGGGTAAGAATTTGACAAAGCTGGGGACTTTCAAGGGTCTGAGAGGAGGATACTTTTGTCTGGTGTAGAGCTATTCTTTTCAGATCTTTTTAGCAAGATACTAGTCTTCAATTTGCAAGTGGGTGGCTCCGCCACTGACTATCTGTGAGATAAAGGTTCTCTAAAAGTGCCCCAAGCCTCCCTCAAACACACTTTAATAGGATCTTGGCTTCTCCCCAAGAAGGAATTTGGGATAGGCAACAATGGCTTTAAAATTCCTGATGACTGAGGTTGCTGTTGCCTGGGAGGACTCCTTAGAATCACCTTTGCTGTCCTTTTTCCTGGAACTCTTTTGCTCACTGTACTTTTCTCTTCAGGCTCCCTGCTCCAGAGCTTCCACTTGCAGACTGGTTTGGTCTCTTGAATGGAGGGCTTCATAAAGCAAACTTCCTATTGATAAGTCCTTGTCCTCTACCCCATAGCCACCAGTTAAGCAAAACAAAACCGAAAAATTAATTTCACAGAGTATACAAAGTGTAAGTAATAAGTTGGTTCTTAAATGTTAGTCATCACTGTTACTAGTAATATATCATTACTCAAGTTCAACTGAATCTATGTGCTGAGCCCATTTTAAGTGCCAGGTACTGTGCTGAGTGTTGGGGACATAAATGTGAACAAGGCACACTCCCTTCTCTTGGGAGGGGAGCTGAAAGTCTAGCTGAGAAACAAACATACCACCTTTCTTAAAACCTGTGCCAGCGGCTTCTCTACAGAGAGGTCCATGAGTGTGCAGTGGAAACTGCTCTGATGCCCCCCATCCCCACCTGCAAAGGCCCCTCAGCACCAATGCGGATCTCCCTGTGGTGCATCCTTCTGTCATTCATTCCAGAGTCAGGGAGAGAAAGGGGTAGGGCACCAGGGGATAGGGTACAATCACTGTTCTGTTTCTCTTTCCTTGCTGAACAGCCAGATACTTTTACCTTTTCAAAGCTCAGGAAGCACACAGCAAAGGCCAGTCCTGGTGTTTGCTGTATGAGTGTCTCTGCTTTCTTCTCTCCCGAGGCTGTGTCAATAGGGCTGTGTGTATCACCTGCCAAACTCCAGGAGTCATTTCTTCTGCTGATAAACAGCACCAGGCACCTAGAAGTCACTCTGGGTATATTGGTTCTGTTGGGGTCAGGATCAGTTGTGGACATTAGGACAAGTTTCAGATCCCATCATGAAAGCAGATGACAAAGCTTCAGTGGGAAAAGGTGGCTGTAAAAGGGGACTTGTAGGGGTGCCTGGGTGGCTCAGTGGGTTAAAGCCTTTGCCTTCGGCTCAGGTCATGATCTCAGGGTCCTGGGATCGAGTCCTGCATCGGGCTCCCTGCTCAGCAGGAAGCCGGCTCTCCCCTCTCTCTGCCTGCCTCTCTGCCTACTTGTGATCTCTCTCTGTCAAATAAATAAATAAAATCTTTTTTAAAAAAGGAGGGGGGACTTGTAGTTACTTTTCTCACATAAATCTGTATAAATTCTCTTAAGGAGTCTTAGGAAAGTGGGCATATTGAATGGACATGGGGGAGAAAGCAGTTAGGACTGGAGTTGATGAGACCTAATGCCCCCTAGACAGATGCTTAGCAGTCTTCACCAAGATCCTAAACGGGGCCCAGTCTTCAAACACAACCAGCAACTTAAGGCCCCTACTCAACAGGAGGTGGAGGCGGGAATAGGGTGATGGTGTCAGTAGTGTAGATTTGAAAAATTGCCAAAGAACTATTCCTCCACTTTGCATGTATTTCAAAACATTAGGCAAGGATAGATAATTCAATAAATGGTGTTATGACAAAAAGCTAACCATTTGGGAATGAAATAAAGTTAAAGGTTTACCTTACTATAGCCAAGATAGCCTCCAGATGGATTAAATGTAAAATGTAATACCCAGATCCACAAAAGGCCCAGAAGAATGTATGGCTTAATACTTTTATAATCTTGGCACAGGACAGGCTTTCCTAACCATGGTAACAAAGGTAGAAACAATAAAGAATAAGACTGCTGGATTTGACAGCATTAAAATCCAACACTTCTGTGTGTCAACACCATTTATGAAGTTAACATATGACAAGCTGGGAAAATATTAACAACTGTCATATTTAAAGATAACATACAAAAACATTTCAATAGAAATTTGGCAAAGGACAGCAACTCAAAAAAGAAAATACTTAGGTTTACTATTACTCATTTTAAAATGCCAGGTGACACAGGACATTTTTTTTTTCTCCTGACTGTTGAATGGCAAAAATTGTGGAAGGGACTAGGGTAATGGACATTTTCATCCATGTGTAATTTGAGACAGTCATTCTGACTAGACAGTTGGTGATATCTATCAAAAAGTCCTAAAAATATACATATTACATCTAGAGTATTTTCCCCAGGAAAAAAAAAAATCAGATAATTGTATCCTATAAGTGGAATGAAAGCTGCAGCATCTAAATTTCTAAAGTGAATTATTGACTTAGAAAGGAATTCTCGTTTCCTTGAAGGGAGTTGCTGCCCCAGAAGTTTCTTGAGATGGCATGATGCTCAAGGAAAGCTCTATTCCTTTACTTGCTGCCGTAGTTCTGAACAGTCTTTGGGTCTAGAGTGGTACAATCTGCCCTCCTGGAAGGGTTTATCAGAATAATTTCCACTATGTTTCAAGTCTGTGTTCATTCTAGTCCCTGTCAGAAATGCAAGTGCCTTTAGTCATTTTCAACAACTGTGTTTTATGTCTTCCATTCCATTATTCTGTACATTCACTGAACTAACTGGCCTTCCCATCCCTCCAAAGCCATCCCATTATGTCCATCTTGGATGCCAGTGCTTGGCAGAAAGCTGGCTGTCTCTCAGGCCTTTATGCCCAGTGGCCAGACTTGAGGAGATGGATCTACCAGAAAGAAAGGGATCTCTGTGTTAGTACAATTCTTTGGAAAGGTTGAATTCTCAGCTAGAGCCATCCACAGGTCTCTTGACTTGCTAGCTAGTTCTCAGGGCTGGAAGTCATCCTGGCCTCTCCTTGGACAAGCCATTCCTGTTCTCTGCAGCTGCTTCTGTCCCTTTGAGCAAACATGTCTTGTGTTTTTTCTCCCTATTCCTACGTTCTACTAATGATTTGGCATTAATGATGCCTAGTGTGTGCATCTTAGCTTTTGTAACTTAACTCTATTCAAATCTAAATCATTCATCCTTGTGGAGACTATTTGTACAGGGTTCAGACAGATTTTTATTCTTGCCATTTATTTCTCCCATGTAACTTGTTACACCTTTCTTCATGCAGTTTTTTGATGGAGTTGCTTATAAAGCAGAAGATGGGAAGGGAAGTTTGGGGTGGGGATTGATGCCCCACACTTAGTATATATTTGCATCTATTTCTAGCACTAAGGGCCAGGCTGTCCTTTCCTGTGTAGGCTCCAGTGCCCAGAGCTGATTATTCTGTTTGGTAGCACTTAGTGGGGCTGCCTTTAGGGATCCCTTTAGGATATATTTATGGTGCTGCTTGGCCCAGAAAGAGGAGGTGCCCTTTGTTGTGTGGGTGAGTATAGTCCTTTCATAATGACCCTTCTAAGGAGATGTCAAGGGGGAGCATGAAGTACTAGGTTTCTGTCAGCCCACTTCATAGGAAGGCCCCCCTCAAACAACCAGACAATGAAGGCATGAATGGGATTGCAGGTGAGAGCTAGAAGTTGTTCCTGCTCAGATTATCTGTTGGATGTTACTTCCTGCTACACCCAAGACTCAGCTACAGCCCTGGAAGCCAGGGTTCTTCACTGGGGACCCATGGGTGTGTGCCACGTGGGTCTGTGGACTTGCAAAATGGCATAAGTGAACTTTTGGAGCAGATAGTACTTAATTTTCATCGAAGAGTCGGTTGACTTCCAAAAAGATTAAATTGATTATTTTAGAGAATCCTTGAATAAATAGAGATATATCATTTTCAACCTTTTCTTTTAACTTTTCCTTTTTTTTTTTTTTTTAAAGATTTTATTTATTTATTTGATAGGCAGAGAGAGGAAGTGAAGCAGGCTCCCAGAGAGCCTGATGCGGGGCTCGATCCCAGGACCCTGGGATCATGACCTGATCCAAAGGCAGAGGCTTTAACCCACTGAGCCACCCAGGCGCCCCAAACTTTTCCTTTTTTAAGTAGGCTACATGCCCATTGTGGAGCCCAATCTGGGCCTGAACTCACAATCCTGAGATCAAGACCTGAGCTGAGATCAACAGTCAGACA